CCAGGTCAATGCCTAGGTCGGTTTTAAAAAATTATAAAACTTGTATTCAACTATGTAAAATAATACGTTATAAATCAAACATCAATAAAAAAACGAATCAATTCATTAGAAATATACATTAATATGTATTCATCATGTCATATTTTAATTGTCGATGTGTTAAGAATGTCAATGTCCATGAATGATGTTTAATCGTAATTAAATTAATGTTAAATTGTTGAAAAAGCTCCTCTTTGCTTTCAGGGCTCAACGACTCAATTATTGTCATTTATCTAGAAAAACAAAGTAGGGAAGTGTTGTGTTTCCACACCTTCCTTGTGAATTATGACCAAGTAATATTACGTATATCAAATTGGTATCTTTTTTATTTATTTTTGGATTAATTACACTCACACCTTATAAGGTTTCATTTTTTTATCACACGATAGTTTATCAGATTAAGGGTAAAAAGGTAACTTTACACAAAATAGAAAAAAAAAAAAAAAAAACTCATTGTTTCATGATTTTTTAGAATTAATGAAATTCGAAAATTACAATTGAAAATTAAAAAATATATATATATAAAATCTTCCATATGGGAAGGATGCAAGTTGCTTCAGGCACTAAATTGTTGATTTTCTTCTTTGATCAAGAGTTTTGAATTGCATATAATCCTTAATTTTATTTTCAAATTAAGTAGGAAATAAATGTTATAAACTGCTTGTATATTTTATTAACTAATGCAAGTAAAGCATTTATCAATTATTATAAGGGGCTTGCTTATTTGTTAAGGGTTTTGTAAATGCTATTATTATTAAGGGTTTAATAAATTTTAAGAGGGGTCTTTATGATATTTTCATATATTATGCTCGGGCTGGGTTTTCCTACCAAAGCCTGCTTGATTTTTCAGGCCCAGGTGCATGTATGCCCGCCCGGGCGAATCCGGGCCAAGTACTTTTATAAATATATGTTGTCATTTTAAAACTACCAGACAATATATATCAGTAGAATGGAGCTGTAACTAGATTATAGTGTAAGTTAAGGAGAGAGACCTCCGGATGATTGATATAATAACAAAAATAAGTTTTTAAATAAAAAAAATTTCTTTATTGTTAATGAATTGCTAGAATTTATATTAGTAATGTGATATTTTTAACTTAAAATTAGACGTCAATATCCAATTATTTATTTTATAACTTTAAGGGGTTGATTATGGTCAAGAAGGTTTGTTCTCTTTCTTAATTCACGAGTTTAAATCTTAAAATTATCTATTATAATATATGGGTGCGTTTAGTTTAGTATTTTGGATAGGATTTTAAGGATAGTATTTTTTGGATATGGGATATTACGAGGTAAATTTAAAAATTTGTAAAAAAGCCCTTAGGTTTACTAATTTAACTAAAGACCCTAACATATAAAATGACAAAAACACCCCCCCACCTGCAGTGTCAGATTCCGGCTACCACCGCCGGAATTTGGTCGAAAAATTCATTACGGCACAGACTTGTCGGATCTGTGCCGTAACACGTCGTTATGGCCTTTTCCGGCCAAATCCATGGTGGATCTGGCCGGAAAAGGCCAGATCTACGGTCTGTTATGGCCTCGACGACCAGAAAAGGCCAAACGGGGCCATCTTTGGCCGTCAGCTACGGCCAAAGATGTGGCCGTCGTTTTCGGTCAACGACCCATTTCTTTGGCCGTCGCTGACGGCCAGATCTGGCCTTTTCCGGCCAGATCCGTGGTGGATCTGGCCGGAAAAGGCCACAGCGGTGAACTTCCGGCCATTTCTAGTCGGAAGTTAGGCCGTTGTACAGATTCCGGCTATCACCGGTGGTTGCCGGAATCTGACAAGTTGGGTTGATGGGGGTGTTTTTGTTTTTTTAAACTTTTTTTTCAGGGGATATTTAGTGAAATTAATAACCTATGGGGTTAAAATGTAATTAAAAAATAAGTAATATTTTTAGAATATTGTACCAACGCTATTTGGAGAATAGGATCCAGAATAGGGATAAATATATTAAACCAAACATGCACATTATAATTTATCTCTCTTTGAATTTATAGATATTAAAACTATTTTTTTACTTTATCTAAGAACTAGGATAAGTGATGAGATGACATTAAAACTTAACTTAAAAGTGACGTGAAAAACTTGACGTAGTGAGTAATCCCAAGGGACATGCCATGTCATATTTTTTAATTAATTTGATGTCACATCACTTTTAATTGAAGTTTTAACGGCATCTCACTATTTATCTTGGCTCTTTAATAGTTTAATGGATGAAAATAGATGATTAGATGTTAGTTTAATTTAGTTGAAACTTGATAGATCATTAGATTAAGGAATTTTTATCACTTTAAAAATCCTAAAAGGTTTCGTTATCAATCATTCCCAAAGGTAAAAAGTGGCATTTAACTCTTATAGTGTGTATGACCCAACTTGACAAATCAAGGGGATAAGAAAGTTAAAAAGTGGGACGGGTTTGGGGGCGCCGGAGTCAACGCCTCTGTTTATGACTTTATTAGTCCTCTCTACAAAGCATCCATTGCCTCCTCAATATTAGGATTAGAATTTTACACATCTCCAATCTTTTTTCTTTTTATATATTCATGTTTCATATTTTTTTCTCACTTCTACCAATAATTATGTCGTTCTTATATTTTTTGGTTTACTAAATTGTTTTCAAATAATTACCCACATTCTATATCAAATGTCATAACATTATTCTGTCATAGTAAATAATTGATAATTTATATAATTATTTTTATGAATTCTTCTCATCCTATACTAATGAATAAAGATAATATGAATATTTTATTTATTAATTTCCTTTGATCAAAGCTTATCTCCTAATACTTATAATGATAGGAATTCAAAGATTCGACAATAAGCAATATAATCTTAGCTAAATATTATTTATTTAAAAGTATTATTCTAATTCATTGGGATATTTTAACAAAATCAGCATTGTGAACAAAGTTAAATTGACATATGGGATCTCTCATAGTGAGGGGTCAACCGGTCAAGTTTGGTGAGCTTGATTTGCATAAATGACTTCAAAAAGAAGTTCTTCCACCGTCATATATAGATCCAGGTCCAGCAATAAATATCCACAACCAATATGTCTCATGCCCTCATAATTCTTTTAAGTGTAAACGACTACCATCTTATCCCCCACCCCCCCGGGTTTTGTCTTAATGGCTTTTCCACTAAAAAAGTTTCAAAATACTATTTTATCACCTAAAGTTAATATTTTATTACTATCCAAAGCCAATTCTAATTGTGAAAATTATCTCCATCACGGCCATTTAAACCTTCGGTCTCCTGTCTACAAAACCCCTTTCACTCCGGCACCTGATTTCTCATCGATTATCGGCTATCGTAATGCTAGGGTTTCTTGTTCTTAATCGATTTTTGACTAATTCTAACAGAGAATATTCAATCGGTCACTATCACCATTCGATCTACCAGACTTTACTCTATAAAAAAACTCTCTTACCTTGACTCATGGTAACTCGTTGAACGCTGACTAGGAAAGTAAAGTATATTTTGGGTGTTAATAGAATATAAAAACTGGGTGAAAAAGTGATATTTTGAAATTTTTTTGGCGTGAAAGTTCATCTAGGAAAATCTTGGGTGGGAAAAAGTAGTTTACTGTTCTTTTAAAGTAATATGAAAACACTGACTTTTCGTTAATATGAATTTGATTTGTTAACTCCAAAGTCAAGAATTATGGTCAATTTGGTATAATTAATTAATTTTTGTTTTTAAATAGAGTTTTAATTATTATAAAGTTTCTACTTAGGCAAGTGTTTTGGTTTAGATTTAATTGCCAGAATTTGTGGATTGTGAGATTTCATTATCTTTTCACGCATCATTAATTTATCTTGTTTTTACCTTTTCTCTTATATAATAACACGATCACCTTCAAGAGTCTTTCTCCGGAGTTAAATTTGCTTTTTTATTAATTTTTTTAAAGATTTTTTCAAAATTTGAAATATTAAAATTACCCTTGTATTATTTTAGGAATATTAGTACATTATTCCTAGAAACAAATTTATTTTAAACTTTTTTTTTTTTCTTAAAAATAATTACTTAACTTTTAATTGTAAATTACTGTAAAATTTAGAAAATGGGAGTAAAAACTAAAAAGGGCATTTCTTATGGTAAAAAAAATACTACCATTAGATTCCATCAATATCGTCTCATATATATATAAATGGTACAAAAATGTGATATGAGATAAACATTACTTGAAATTTGAATTATCTTAGTTAACTGTACGCCCAACACATATCTAGCCTTTTTAATAGGACGGAATCACGGCCGTCAATTTTACTTAATCCCATTAATTAATTAATTTTAATGAAAATTCCAATTTGAATAAAGCCAAAGAAAACGTCCCAATACACCCCAATTTCTCCATCAGTGTTATTGCTTCCTTTCTCTATATTATTTCTTGCTTAATCATAAATTAACTCTTCGTAGTTTATCTTAATTCCATAATTAGAATGCCCAGCTGTCATTTATAACTAAACGGTAAAACCCAGTTGCTCTCACTATTTAAACACTCTACACGTAATATACACCTATTTTCCCGCGGGAGAACAAAATTTTCCAGGAAAAAAAAAAAGGAAAGGAAAAATCAAACGCTTTCTTCTACATCCTCAATCCTCTTCAGCTTTCCACCGTCAGTTGCTGGTAAGTCTAGTGCGCCGAGATATATCATTCTTGAAATAGTTAGGGTCAGTTTGATTTATAATGTGAAAATAAATTAATTTTTTTAATATTTGAGAAATAATATTAACAAATCTATTTTGGAAAAAATTTCGACTAATTTCCAGTGAACGTCAAACAGAACCTTAGTTTTATTTCTCTACATTATTTCTAAAATCAATCTGGAATCTTTGACTTTTGGTGTTAAATAATAGAGATTCTGCGTCTCCTTCTGCTGGTTTCTACTGCTAGAGGTCGAATTTTCTCGAATTAGGATTTTATTAGTCCTTTTTCATAAATTCTTTAATAACAAATCACTCGGATTTGTTTTCATACTCTTGTTTGCCGGCTAACAGCTCAATATATATAACATTCTCATTTGTGAATTACACTAAAGACTGTTTTCCTTATTTTTGTTTTCTCTGTTTCCTGAAAACAGTTCGAAGATGGGCAGCGAGGGCGTAGGAAATGAAGGGTTAAGAAAGAGAGGGTGTTCGTGCACAAAGAATGATTTTCTACCGGAGGAGTCGTTTCAGAGCTGGGGCAACTACGTTCAGGCTCTGAAGGAGACGCCGCTCCGGCTCAAAGATCGGATCCTGACTCGATCACTGGACACAACCGAGCTTTTCGAAATCAAGGCGAGGAGTCAACATGAGATGAAGAAAACTTTAACGTGGTGGGACCTCATGTGGTTCGGAATCGGCGCCGTCATTGGCGCCGGTATTTTCGTGCTCACCGGACTTGAAGCCAGAGATGACGCCGGCCCCGCCGTCGTATTGTCATACGTCGTTTCGGGTATCTCGGCTATGCTTTCTGTCTTTTGTTACACCGAGTTCGCCGTGGAGATTCCGGTGGCAGGTAATATTAAATATTTCAGATTTTTATATGTTAGAATATATTTTTTGATTTTTCTGTGATTTTTTTATGGTATTAGTTTCTCAAAACTATCTCATATATTATCTTATCTCTCATTAAGTCCTCATATTTTTTCTTTTTCTATAAATTTTCATTTTCTCTCATTTAAGTCCTCATATTTTGTCTTTTTCTATACATATTCATAACTTAAATAAGGATAATACTACACATACATCATTTTCATACAACATTTCTCATATAATATTATATAGTAAAATATGATTAGATAGAAGTTTAATTTTAACTTTAAATTAGCTAATTATATCTTGCCACTTAATATCGTATGAAAATGATGTATGTGTAATATTACTCCTTAAATAATATATTTTATATATTTAATAAGGCATATTTTTATATACATATTATATTATTTAAGAGATATCTCTGTTTTTAAGAGGCTGTGATCTTTGAATTTAAAATTTTCGGAAATTAGAAAATTGAAGTAAGATACGAGTGAACATCCCATATGTATCAAAATAAGGGGATATTAGCATTAAATAATGTATATATAAAAGTTGAGTTTGAAATGTTATGAAGTCATAGTGGAAAAGTTTGTAGTCTTTATCGATAAGGTACATATTTCCATCATTGTCTTATCTTTGAACCACATTTTAGACCACATATGTTAATAATTAATCCTTAAAATATCTTCTTTTTCTTCACACGTTCTTCACAAATTAAAGTCTTTTTTTTTTTCACATAAAAATATGAAATAATTTTCTATTCATCAATTTATAGAAAGGTTAATACCTCAAAATTAATATGAAGTACAAAATATTGATGATGTCATTTGATCTAGAAAATATTTTTCTTTCTTTATATTAGTGTTTAAAATTTTTGTTCTTAATATATATTACGTATTGGTGGGTTCTTTTATAATCTTCAAAAATTGCTTTTAACAGACAGTTTACCATGTAAATTGTTTCAGGTGGTTCATTTGCATATTTAAGAATAGAGTTGGGTGACTTTGTAGCCTTTGTCGCCGCCGGCAACATTCTCCTTGAGTATGTGATAGGTGGCGCCGCTGTTGCCAGGGCATGGACATCTTATTTTGCCACCCTTTGCAACAAGCAGCCAGATGACTTCCGCATTATTGCCCACAGCCTCCCGGATGACTATGGTCACCTCGACCCTATTGCTGTCGCTGTTGCAGCCAGTGTTTGCATTCTTGCGGTTCTCAGCACCAAGGGCTCTTCACGCTTCAACTACATCGCCTCTGTCATCCACGTTATCGTGATTCTCTTCATTATAATCGCTGGCTTCATAAACGCTGACACCAATAACTACCGTGACTTTGCTCCCTATGGAGCCCGCGGGGTTTTCAAAGCTTCAGCAGTACTTTTCTTCGCTTATGTTGGTTTTGATGCAGTTTCAACCATGGCTGAGGAGACCAAAAACCCCGCGAAGGACATCCCCATCGGGCTCGTTGGCTCGATGGTGGTCACCATTACTGCTTACTGTTTGCTCGCAATAGCATTATGCATGATGCAACCTTACAAACAGATTAATGCTGATGCTCCATTTTCCGTTGCATTTTCCGCCGTTGGGTGGGACTGGGCTAAGTACATTGTCGCAGCTGGTGCATTGAAAGGTATGACCACAGTTTTGCTTGTTAGTGCCGTCGGTCAGGCTCGCTATCTCACACACATTGCCCGAACCCACATGATGCCACCGTGGCTAGCTCAGGTTCATGGAAAAACCGGGACCCCGATTAACGCTACTGTTGTTATGCTTTCTGCTACTGCAATCATTGCCTTCTTCACCAAGCTTGATATATTGTCCAATCTTTTATCAATTTCCACATTGTTCATCTTCATGTTGGTGGCCATGGCTCTTCTTGTTCGGCGCTACTATGTCAGTGGAGTAACAACTCCCGCAGATCGCAACAAGCTCATAACATGCCTTCTGCTTATCCTAGGATCTTCAATCGCCACCGCAGCTTATTGGGGTATGAGCGAACACGGATGGGTTGGCTATGTGATTACAGTACCAATTTGGCTCTTGTCCACTATAGGTCTTTGGTTGTTTGTTCCACACGCTAGGGCGCCAAAACTTTGGGGGGTGCCATTGGTGCCGTGGCTCCCATCTGCATCGATTGCTATAAACGTTTTCTTGCTGGGTTCAATAGATAAAGCATCCTTTGAAAGGTTTGGCATTTGGACTGCACTTCTATTGGTTTACTATTTATTCTTCGGATTGCATGCTTCGTATGACACAGCAAAGGCGTCGGGGGAGAATAATAAGATCGGAGAAGGATGGAAGAACGTTGAAGAGGGCGCTGTCTCTTCTGCGACAGATGTTTCTGGGTTAAATGAAAATAGAGGCTCAGAAAATCCTGGTGCTTAGTGGACTCGTTGATTAATCTATACGCGTTTGTGTATGTAGTTGGTGAAGTTGATGTGGTTTTCCTCCGTTAGTCATATTAGAAATGTTTGCTTCTATTTTTCATTTATAATTCTATATATTTTGAACAAGTATTTGGATTTTACCAGAAACAAAGTGGGGATTACTAGTTTTTCAAAGTCTTGTGTTGTTGTTCTTTCAATCTTGTGGACTTTTGAGATTTTATCAATGTTCAGTTCTCTTGTTCAAAGTGTTGTAATTGAGCATATGTCAATTCATGGTGATAAAAAATTAAAATTTTACCTTTAAAGTTTGCTCTAAGTAAACTTGAGTCTT